CCTCTAAAACATCTGAAACACTTGAAACATACATTTGCAACATAGGGGAGGGGAATGCCGGGGCCGGTCGATTTTGATCGTCGGGGTGGGATCCGACGGCGAGCGGTGGCGCGCAAGCATGAACAACACCGGCCACGCTCGTGGGTGCCCTTGGCTCGGCCGGGGAAGACCTGAGGCACCATGACATCACCATGCCCCCAGAAAAACACTTGCAACATGAAACATTTGCCAACATCTGGCGGGTGTGAACATCACCCCTGCAACGATAAAACATACGCGATGGATGGCGGACGGACAACGAGGGTGCAAGCGGCGCAGGTGATTGGGATGCTACTTTTGCAATATCTATATGTGGAAACGTGCAGGAGGGAGGGAAGGCCGCATTCAGTCCGCCGGCGAGATGGGGAAGAGAGGCATTGCGCATGGCGGCAAATAGAGTCGCGAGGCCGCGCGCTTGCCCGGGCTGGGTGGATAAGCATATGAGGGAGTGGGGATTCGATTTTTTTTTTGAGAGTGATGAGACCCACTCCTGTGAAGGCGTGTTCGGACGGGAGTCACCGACGGACGCCCATTATCATTTAGATACGTACAGTGGTCAAGGGGAAGAGCACGGCGAATGCCAAGAAATCCTAAGCTATTGGGCCTACTTGTTCGATCAGGGCCCATCTTCAAGATAATGCATCCCAGGCTAGCCCATCTTCGACTCACTCTATGGCCAGGTGGCCACTGGAGGTTAGATTGGGCCGAGGCTTCCGTGGGCACAGTAACACGAATAAGAATCGGCTTCTGTGTTCTTGTTCTTGTTCTTGTTCGTGGGTTGACGGATACATAGGCGGATCAAGGATGTAGGTTTTGCAGGCGCCTTGTTCTTGTTCGTCGGTTGACGGATCTAGTAGTAGACCCCGCAAGCATGGGAGTGCATCAGAGGATCGATGATCGAGCACAGACCAAGCTTGGAGTTCGTGAACCGACCACCCTCTGCCGTGTCTGTCATCTAAGCTGGCCACACCCATTGCAGACAATAGCATGAGGGCATGTTTGGTGTATTGCCAATAACAGAGAACCTAACGATTAGTTTTTTTTGAGGGGTTAGCTAAAGATTAGTCTCTCATAAAATTTTAGCTGCTATTATTTGGTTGCAGGTGAAGACGTGATGGCCAACGAAAATTTTGCAGGAGCCCGTTGCATACAGTAAAAAAAAGAAGAGGGCACTCGCGTAGGCGAGCAATTGAGCCGTCCCAATCTGGCCCAATCGTGAAGGCCAACAGTATTTTTTTTCCTCTTGGTGAACAATCTAATTGGCTACGTTCTTTGAAATTTCGGATTACGAAGCCTGAAACATTAATAGCTATACTACTACTCTGGTTTATAATTGATTTGTTTCCACTTTTTTATTATTTATTTATAAAATTTCATCTTAAAAAAAACTTACTTGACTATATTCCAGTGGAAAAAGAGATAATGACATGTAGACCCGCACAACTATAATAAAACTATCGTCATCTTTCTTTTCTCTTTTTTTCTCTTTTTTCTCATTTTTTTTTTTCATTTCTATCCCGTGGCCGTGTAATTTTCAACTGATGCTAAATTAAAGTGGCCTTTATTTTTTTCTTGGTGAGCTCCATTTCTCGATAAAACTATCCAAGTTTCTCACGAATGGTTTAGTTCTTCCGTCTTCTCGTAAATTTAAAGAAAGGATATTCCGTCCGTTCTAAATTATAAGTCACTTTAACTTTTTTGGTTTATCCATTTTGGATATGTATTTAGACATATCATTATATCTAGATGCATAAAAAAATGGATGTATCAAAAAAAAGTTAAAGCGACTTATCATCTGAAACGGAGAAGTATCATTTTTTACCTTCCATTGTGAATTTGTAGTTACTTCTTTTACCCTAAATAATCATAAAATTCATCGCAATCCTACTCATGTCTGCTGTGGGGCCACTGCTACCTCAAGCAGTCGTTAGATGGCTCCATCATCACGCTAACATCTATGGGTACCTCAAACTTTTTTAGCCATATACTATAAAACCACCACTAGCACCAGTAATTAAGTTGCCGATCAAGCATGATATATATCCATGCGACTCCGGGTGATATCCAATGCCACTCTACCTAGATGTCGATCATGCTAACATTTTCTGTTTGCATTGTGACCAGATTCTCGCAAAGAAAAGCCATTTGTTTGTGTGCCCATGCAAGTTGATGCGTGCGACCGGTCGGTTCCGTTCCGTGGGCATTTGTACGCGCGCACATGCATGGCCACATGGGCGCGCCATCCAAATCCTCTGATCTGCTCCCACTCCCAGCTAACTGCATGCATGATTGGGTTTGGGATTAGTCGATTTCATTCGTAAGGCTTGTACGTAGCAGCTGGATGCCTCTGTCTGTTTGGGGGTCCCTTCCAGATTTGGAAGCGTAGTACTCCTACCTCAGATGAGACACGGCGTACGTAGCTGGGGAAAGATACGTGTGGTCGGCCGGTGCCAACAACGGTCTCGATCCACGACACGAGGGGCAGTGGTGAGTGAAGTAGTTACGCTTACGCTACGCTAGGTCGCTAGCTACCCTGTAAGGTCCAGGTCCAGGTCCATGTCCATGTCCAGGTCCAGCCGAGGTGCGCGGCGCGCACGTGTAGTTACCCCTGTTGGGACTAGTCCGTTTGGGCACCGCACCGTCGCGGCGTCGCCAGCAGTCATCAAACAGACACCACAAGGTGCATCCGCGAGCCCACGCGACGGCACAGGCGCAGACTGGGGGATGGATGGTCGCGCCGACAGCCATGTGCTGTGCCGCAGGTAGCCGGCACAGGCCGGGCCGGCGGTGACCAGAGTGACGAGACCTCGCACAGCACCACACACACCGGACACGACCCATGCCAGCATGTTCAGGAACGGCTCAGGCTCACCGCCCTCGAGGGCAGAGCAGGGCCACGGCCATGCATGCGCCGCTAGCTGCATGCACATGCACTGCATCGCTGCCGCAACGCGCATGCATGCATGTTTCCGGCGGCCGGCAGGTCCGCACATGTACCCCAGGACCACCATATGCACGGGAGGAGCATGGAGCAGTATGTGTACTCGTAGTACGTGGCAGGTTCACGTTGCGCGCACCGGCCAGTTTTTAATCCGCGTTGGGCCAGGGGCAGTAGAAGACGGCTGGCAAACGGCATGCACGGCGACATCGGTCAATCCATGGCAACCGTCGCTGATTTGGTGTGAGAAAAAAATATTATTCATTGGTCGGCTTTATAAGCTAAGCGAACGGAGGTACGAAAGGGAAATGCGGTCTTGTGACGGCCCGGCCGGTGAAAGCCTTGGCACGTGATGTGATATATATGCCGTGGGTGTCCTTCGGTCCTTCCCCTCTCGTCGCTACTGGAATCAGCCATGCAAGACTCCAAGGATCATACTCGTACACAAGTAATTGCACTGTCACACGTATATATAATCTTCCGTTCTCTGAGGTCGGCGGACATGGCCGCAAAGTCATCAGGTCGACCAATGCAAGCCCAGCATGCTCGTGTCGGTAGCAATAGCACGCAATGCAATGCGAGACAGCCGCGCGCCGGGCTCGCAGAGATTCGGGGCCCCGCCCGCCCCAGCGAGAGCGAGACTGACCCGGACGGCTCCTGATTGCGATGCCGCTTGCTGCTGTACCTGTACCTGCACCTGCACACCCATGTGACCGCCATTCACGCCTGACAGCGAGGTTGATGCCTGCCTGCCTCGCACAGTGCCCATGTCCCTCGGCAATTGGCAACCAATCAAGAAACCAGTGGCCAGGGATACGTAACTCGCTTTACAGGTAAGCCATGATTGAAAATAGAGTTTGATTGATTTGGTGTGGAAGAAAAATAATGTTTATTAGTTGAAAAAGTATAACTTATAAGCCAAACTAAATAGGGCGATGATCACACGACACTTGCTTAAGACTAACCTATCCATCCATATGCCTTTTATCCTTCCAAACTAATCATTTGAATAACTACTAGCGGTCAAAACTACAAATTTTTGACCGAACTTTGGTCCAATCATCAGCTAAGAGTATTCCGCTCTAGTATCCACAGCTATCCGATGCGAACTTTCGTCTAGTCGAGCTTTTCAATTCGTTTTGTCATTTTACCTCTAGACTAGAAGCAGGGAGAATAGGTGACGATGGGGACTCGGGGAAGAAAGTAAGATACCCAAAACGGAACCATACAAAATCGTTGGGCTTCGTCATTTGTAAAAGACGAATTGTGTGGGAGGGGGGCTCATAGACAGTGCGTGCCATGGAGAGATCCCTGAAGCAGAGCTGCACGATGGCATGGCGTCGCAAGTTGTGAGTCGTCCACCAATCAGGCAGTCCCCCAGTAGTACTTGATTTTGCTCCCACTGGGCTAACCTGACGCGAGCAAAGACAAGATCGCGCCTCACGGGCTCGTCGGCGTCCATGTGACGGTGCACGATGCAGTACTGACATCGATCGACCACACTCCTCTGCCATGTTGGTTTGGGCTAAGCCATGGCCGAAAGTATTCAGCCTGTTCGGTTGGTTGATTCATGAAGAAATATTGTTGTCTGGTTTGTGTGAGAGAAAAATACTGTTCCAACTAGAAATTTATGATTGTATACGATAAGCACCAGCCAAATAAATATATTAATTATATAAGAGAAAAATATTATTCGTTGACCGATAAAATACTTGCTTATAATCTACGTACGAGCAAGCAAACAAGCTGCTCATCACTCGCCAGCTGCCACTCCATCAGCACGTACTGTAGCTAGTTTAGTGCCCTTTAATAACTGTAACCCTATGCTTATAGCCAGTTAATTAGCCACGCTCTAGAACACAGAGCATGCCCCTAGCTTGCCATTGCCAGCTCTCCGCCTCTCCCTATAAATACTCTCGCACTCCTCGAGTTTCGGCATCCCAGCGCCCACTGCCGAGGGAGGATAGAGATACAGCGTACGTACTCCTCCAGTATAAGCAGGTACTAGGTTGGTACACCGGCGATGGCGACAGTGCGGTGGCCTCTGGTCGCTGCCGCGGCGGCGGTCGCGGTGTCGCTGCTGCTGGTGGAGGTGGCGACGGCGGCGGCGCCGCGGAAGCCCGTGGACGTGCCGTTCCAGAAGAACTACGTGCCGACGTGGGCGCAGGACCACATCCACTACATCGACGGCGGGCGGGAGGTGCAGCTGTACCTGGACAAGTCCACGGGGACGGGCTTCCAGACGCGGGGGTCCTACCTCTTCGGCCACTTCAGCATGCACATGAAGCTCGTCGGCGGCGACTCCGCGGGCACCGTCACGGCCTTCTACGTACGTTGCTAGAGCGTCTCATTATTGTTCGCCCGCTTGCTATTGCTTTTGTGTCTCTGTTCTTTGCCTCGCTCTTGCCGGGGGTTGTAATGTAATCTGACTGGTGGCTCGTCGGACATCCTGCTGGAACGGAACGGAACCGAACCGAACCAAATGCAGCTGTCGTCGCAGAACTCGGAGCACGACGAGATCGACTTCGAGTTCCTGGGCAACCGGACGGGGCAGCCCTACATCCTGCAGACCAACGTGTTCACCGGCGGCAAGGGCGACCGCGAGCAGAGGATCTACCTCTGGTTCGACCCCACCAAGGAGTACCACTCCTACTCCGTCCTCTGGAACCTCTACATGATTGCGTAAGCAAGCACCAATCCATCGCATTGCCCTACAATCTTCTGCTGCTGATCTCTAGCGTCACTCACTCACTGCTACTAGTTGCAATTAGATTAACACAGAGGGTTAATTTACCGCGCCCATGGCGGTAAAAATTTCAGCCCGTGATTAGTTGGCCGAATTTTGGAATTTGGGCTACAGTAGCATTTTTGTTTTTATTTGATAATTAGTGTTTAATTATAGATCATGTAATTAGTTTTTTTTCGTTTATATTTAATGCTTCGTTAATGTATCGTAACACTTTATGTCTCCATTAACCTGTTCTGGCTGGCTACGGCTAGCTCACCGCCTGGCTGGCTGGGGAGTGTACCACTGCAGGACGGCAGCCTTACAGTACTAGTATGCTGAAAAAGTGGAAAGACGATTTTGAATTCATGCAGTCTTAAAGGCAGACAGTAAATCTCGAAGCTAGATTGCGCGCGTGCCTCCATGTGCAGGTGCAGCACACACCCAAACACACGGCCTACGGCCTGCCCCTACTCTCCACGCCTCTCCACGCCTGTCTGAACCCTGCACACCAACATGGCCGGCCACTGTGCGGCTGCGACAGCAGGGGCCCAATCCCTTCCTCGCACACCGTGCATCCGCATCGTCGGCTCATCGCTAGCTAATCCTACTACACTTTCCGCAGGTTCTTCGTGGACGACGTGCCGATCCGCGTGTTCAAGAACACGAGCGCGGACCTCGGCGTGCGGTACCCGTTCAGCCAGCCGATGAAGCTCTACTCCAGCCTGTGGAACGCCGACGACTGGGCGACGCGCGGCGGGCGCGAGAAGACGGACTGGTCCAACGCGCCCTTCGTCGCCTCCTACCGGGGCTTCCACGTCGACGGCTGCGAGGCCTCCGCGGAGGCCCGCTACTGCGCCACCCAGGGCGCGCGCTGGTGGGACCAGCCGGAGTTCAGGGACCTCGACGCCGCGCAGTACCGCAAGCTCGCCGACGTCAGGCGCCGCTACACCATCTACAACTACTGCACCGACCGCGACCGCTCCGCCGCCATGCCGCCCGAGTGCGCACGCGACCGCGACGTCTGAGACGAAGCGTAGTAGCAGAGCGCTGTTGCGCTGGTGGGTGCTGCTTGTTGATTGAGAGCAGCCTGTACTGTATGGTATTGTGTATTTGTGTGTCATGGGTGGCTTTCCTTCCAGAGAGGCCGGCGCGTGTGCCCACCGCGTGAGCACATGCGTATACGTACATGCTCGTGTTGTACTGTACTGTATCTGCTCATAGCGAAATGAATTGGTCTTTGCATTGCAATTAGTATCGAAATTTTGGTGACCGGTCCAATAACTCGATCGTCATACAGCACGTTCTGCAATCTTATGTGATATAAATATTAAAAAACTATGAATATGAATATATTTAATGCATAAATAAAACTAACCAAATACAGGCGGCAGTGGTTGCCCACTAGCTCTACAGTAGTGGGTGAAGCCACAAAATTTAAGTTTCACCGTCACCTCATCAGATCAATTTCCCACCTTGGTTTGTGCTTTGGCTCCATGTTTCAGTTCTCAACTCTTTAGTTTTAGCTCCATGTTTCAGTTCTCAACTGTATTCTACAGTAGCTCCATGTTTATATAAATGTACTTAAAACCTTAGCTTAAGTTATATTAACTTTTGTTGTAGTATCACCTTTTGTGACACCATAAATCATTATTTTAGCTTCCAAGTTTTTGTCTTATTACTTGTTGTAATTTTTTTATTTATGTGTTATGTCCAAACTCTAGCTCTGACTGTATCTTTTTATTCCAAAATTTCCTTTTTATATTTTATTAAAAAAGGATTATTGATCCTAAAATAACATAAACAATACGTGTTTTCTGAAGTAACGACGTATAAATTTTATTCATAGATTTTTTATATAATTTTAAGTTTTAAATATAATATAGTTACTACTACACAAATGATTTTGCAAGACGGTGCCCTTTTATTAACGGAGGCGGTCACAAAATCCAACCGCCTCGGTTAATGCCTGCGATTAACGAAGGCGGACATTTTTTATTTACCGAGGCGGGCACAGGAAATGGATTTACGAAGGTGGGCATCTTAAGACAACCGCCTCCAAAAATAGTTTATTTTCTGAGGTGGTCGACTTAAGAAGCCTGCCACCGTAAATACATTTTCGGAGGCGGGCGCCGCCTCCTAAAATACGGAGGCCCAAAGGAGCCCAGAAGGCCCGTTACCAGGGTTCCATATATATACCAACACTCAAACCCTAGCTCACTTCATCCACCCTCAGAAGCGCCGCAGCCCCGTGCGGCGCCCTCTGACCCGCGACTCCGCTCCCTCTCGTGTGACTCCGCCACCCTCCGCGCTCCCTCTCCGCTCACTCTCCCCGCGTTGCTCGCACGTCCCTCTCCTCTCCCCCCCATTCAGCGCTCGCGCCCCCTCTACTCTCCGTCGTGCAGCGCTCGCGCCCCCTCTCCCTCTCTGTCTCTTGCGCGCGGAGCGTGGTGGCCGGCGGCGGCCCTCTCTGTTTCTCTCACGCGGACCACGGTGGCCCTCTCTGTCTCTCTCGCGCGGAGCATGGCGGATCCCGGTGGCCGAAGGACCACGGAGGTGGATCTCAGTGGCCACCACCAGATCCGGCGAGGAGGAGCCCGATCCGGTGGCGGTGTGGCTCCAACGGCGGGATCCTGATGTCCGGAGGAGCACGGAGGTGGATCCCGGTGCCCATCTCCTCCATCGATGAACGGCCCCCACCTCCTCCACAACAACGGCGTCCATCTCCTCCAACACGACGGCGGCGGCGGCGGATCCAGCGATGGGGACCTACGCGGGGTGCTGGCGGCGTAGATCCAACGTTGGGGGCTGGTGCGGGGTGTGCTGGCAGCGCGGATCCGGCGATGGGTGCTGGAGGAGCTACGGATCCAACTAGCGGCGGCGGTGGCCCATGGATGGACTCGGTGGGCCTGTCCATAGGATTTTCTTTTTCTTTTTTGTTTTTTGTATTGATTAACCGAGGCGGGCAAAGCGCCCGCCTCCATGGTCTGTGCATTAACCATGACCTTTGATTGGAGGCGGTTGCTTTGCCCGCCTCCAAAAATCCAAAATGCCCGCCTCCATAAAGTTTTCTATACTAGTGAGTGTCATTAGATTGGAATGTGATTTCTTATGCAAAACATCTTTTCACGGTTGACAAAGCATAGAAATATATATTTGTCAGTAATGTATATACATGTGTACACGGCCTTCGCGGCTCTTGTAATGTTTTGCTTCTGCAAAGTATTAGTGCTTTTGTGATTGCGCTTTTTGTAGTGTGCTCATGTTTGTAATGTGCTTGCTTCATTTGAATAAAGTTACTTTGAGATAATTGGCTGAGTGCTTGTTTCATTAAAGAATATGGTTACAATTTCTACTCGAGCCGAAGAGCTACAGTGGCTTTTACTTTTTTTTGCTCTTGCCTCCGCTTCTTTCTTCTCTGGTTGACGTTGAGTACAAGTCTACACGTCGCAATGGAGGAACTGAGGTACTCGTTTTTTATCTTGTCGATGTTGCGAAGGCTTTGGCGCAATTTGAGTATTCGTCGGGGGCGCTGATGTTCATTCTTGAAGCTTCTCTAGAGGCCACAGAGCAGTTTGAACAAGCAACATAGGTCGAGCAAGTATTTCTTGTACATTGCTCCCACTTGCGCCTGTATTTTCTTTCTTCGGCCTTCGGTCATGCTGGAGTAGCTACGCTCCCATTGAACATGGTTGATTTTGGGTTGCGCCAGATGGTGTCTTCGGTTGCGGGGGGATGTTACGAGCTTTCATGCGATACCCTACCACAACCTCTGGCATTGACTGGCTACTCCCTAACTCATGTTGCCTTGGACCTTGCGGAGGCTTTACGACACCGTCTAGACGATGCGTTTGACCTCATTGAGGCCTTCGTCGGGCTGCGTGAGCTGCTGGTTTTACGAGTCTTCGCACGATACCTCCCGGTCTCTCGTTTTTAAGGAGACTCCGGCCTCCATTTTTCACTTGGTTGGCTCTATAGTGTGCTACTTTTGAGACTGGTTTGGTTCCCCCTAAGCGCTCTTCTGGGGGGTAGCGGTATGAAAATGCACTGACTGGGGCAGTTGCAGCGGCGGGGTGCCGGATTTTATAGTCCACCACTTGTACGTTTTTAATAAATCTTGGTGGTTGGGCGGTGTTAATTGCTTGGATATGTTTTAAGTTGGGATTTCTTTGTACTTGGCGTATCTGTTGTTCTTTACTGCTATTGTACTATTGGCTATTAACTTTGGCTGTTAGCTGAGGCTTATTACGGATAAGCCTTTTCCTGATGCCTACGCCGGAGGTAGGTCTTTGTCAGGTTGGTTTTGGCCTTTTTTGGCCACTGTGATGAATCCTTGAAGCCTGAATATGGATAGGACTTTCTCAATGTTGCAGGCTAATTTTAGCCGTGGAGGTCGCTCCATACTTTAGAGCCTTCGCCTAAAGCATTGGAGGGTCCTTTGTCGTAATGCTTGTTGTCGAATATTGTGGCTGCGTTGCTAGCCACTTTCAACCTTCGCTTTTTATGGTATCTTTTGGGGGGATTCCTCTTTATATTTCTAGAGGTTTTACATGGAACTTGCCTCGTTAAAAACCTCACCTTCGCTAGGAGCCCCCTTTGTGAGGAAAAGAGTGCAAGCCCTTTTGCATGAAATGTAGAAAATGCGAAGACTAGAGAGAGTTGGTGACCTTCGCTTATAGTTCCGCGGAGGCCACCTTTTTACATTTAGATGTAAAACCTACGCAAACTGTCGATGTTCCAGGTATGAGTTGTTGTTCTACCTTCGCCGTCGATCAGGTGGAATGACCCGGGTCTTCCGGCTGCCTTTGCCATGTAAGGGCCTTCCCATTTTGGTTGGAGCTTTCCAACATTTTTAGGATTAGGTCTTCTCTTGAGGACTAGGTCTCCGTCTTGTATGATTTTCCTGATCACTTTGCTGTCTCTCCATTTTCTAGTTTGGTCTTGGTATTTGTCGGTGTGGGACCCACAGGATACCCCGCAAGGAAGGGAGAAGATCTAGTCTAACTAGGATTCTTCCCATGTAATCTTAGTAGTAGTATTATTCTGTAATCCTACTAGGAACTCTCATTGTAAACCGACTAGGACTCTGGCCTCCTGACTATATAAAGGAGGGCAGGGTTCCTAGAGAAGGGACTTTATGACAAAACACAACACTTTACAATCAATCCAATGCAAGTCTAACGCCGACTGGACGTAGGGCTATTACTCGATCAACGATCGAGGGTCCGAACTAGGATAAATCGACTGTCTCTTACATTTACCGTCGAGTTCTGCATACGTTGAAGCCCGAACATACTACACCAGGTACCCTCGTGGCAGGCTATCGGTGGTCAAACATCGACAGCTGGCGCGCCAGGTAGGGGCGTTCGGCGAATTTGCATCTAAGAGCTCGATGGACCTCGACAACATGATCTTCTCGATGGGATCAACCTTCATCTTTGGCTCATGGATCTGCGAGGCGGATGACAATGGCAAGCTCCAAAGCCGTCTCCTCGAAGATTCGAATCACCATGAAGACCATTTTATTTTGGCGACTACGACTGGTCAACTCACTAGAAGATTCGCGCAACTCGCGATGTCCGATTCGATTCAGATTTCGTGACTTTGCGCATCTGACTCAAACTCAGGTTCCGCATCCGAAATGGAGTCTTACCCGAGTTCTTCTGAGAAACCGAGTTCTTTAACGATGGCGCTTAAGAACGCAACCTTGGTCTATCAAGACTACAACTTGGGGTGCACTCAAAGTCTTTTCAAGAAGTCGGGTCCTTTTCCGTTCGGACTCTACAACATGGCAACATCTTATCAGACACGGCCCGAAGGATCCCTCGATTCGGTGCTTAGAATGCCACTGAAAGGCGCTTAGGAAGGTCTCGTACTAACTATAACATCTCAAGACTGCATCGTCCACTGGCCAGGTTCTGTTCCTGAGGATAGTGGTACCCGACTAGTCGGCATGACGACAACAACAATTCTACCCTACCAAGAAGGAGACTCGATCTGCGACCTTGAAGCCTCTACTAAAGTTATC